CCTCACGGGACAGTGACTCAATCCGAGTTTTCCTGCAGTTGATTGCAAATGAGATTAGTAAAGGAAATCGCCCATTTCTAGTCCTCAGCCAAGCAGGGTAAAAGTCCTTGGCAAGGAAATTTGAGAAAAAAAAAGGAAGAAAACATGGACTGAAATAGTTGAAGAATAAGTACATGAGTTTGAAAAAAGAGTGGCAAGCGTGGACAAAGTTGATGGATTCAAGCAAAGGAGTGTCAGGGATAGGGTTTGACTGTGACACCAGTATGTTTCAGGCACCTGAGGAGTGGTGGGAGAAGATGGAATCGATAAGTACATGTACAAACAAGTTTCATATTTGTCATTTACCAGTACATTTTTAACTTTTTTAGTTAACTTTTAATTAATTATATGAAATGTAACGTCTTTCTTTTTCACATATCTCTATTTCTGCAGATAAACAAGTTGTATGCCAAGTTCAGGAAAAAAATCTTGGAACATCGTGAGTTGATGGAGATAGTCTTCATGGTGGCATCAGCTACTGGTAAACACCATTGGACCCCGGGAGAGAAACTTCCTGAAGCTGCTGATGACTCATCTGATTCAGTGCATAGTTTGGGAGCCCAGCCATTTTTTGATTCGATACCCGCAGGAGTACAGGACGTGGATTCAGATTCTTTACTGGAGCATGTTCCGATTGAAAAGGGGAAAAGGAGAAAGACGCCATCAACAAAAAGTCGAAGAAGGCAACAAGTGGAGCGTCAGTTATTGCGGAAAGCATGAACAATCTGACAGATGTGGTGCGTACGAAGAATCAACAGGTTACGGTGAGGCACATCATAGGCAACGAATCGCTATACACTATTTCAGAGTGCATACATCGCCTGACGAGTATTCCATTCCTGATTGGTACGCCGTTATTCCATTTCACCTCGACACTTATGGATAACGCCGATTGCCGGGAGGTGTTGATGTGCCAGCCTGATGACGACCACATTATAGGGTGGCTTACACAAAAGCAACTCCAGTGTACTGCATCGGCGCCTTTTGCAAACTTGTTTGGGGCTCTCCGGATATGATCTAGCGGTGTTACAAGTGTTGAAGATGCCTGTCCTTCTCTTTTTTTTGAAAACTTTGACTTATGTTATTGTTGGCACTATATTAAAACAGGATGGTCTTTCATATATCTCCCTTTCTGCAGATAAACAAGGTGTGTGCCAAGTTTAGGAAAAAAACCTTGGAACATCGTGACTTGATGGAGACGATCTTCATGGGGGCATCAGCTACTAGTAAGCACCATTGGACCCCGGGAAAGAAACTTGCTGAAGCTGCTGATGACTCATCTGATTCTGTGCACAGTTTGGGAGCCCAGCCATTTGCTGATCCGATACCCGCATGAGTACAGGACTTGGATTCAGATTCTTCACTGGAGCATGTTCCTATTGAAAAGGGGAAAAGGAGAAAGACGCCATCGACAAGTGTTTCAAAGTCGAAGAAGGCACCAAGTGGAGCGTCAGTTATTGCGGAAAGCATGAACAATCTGACAGATGTGGTGCGTACGAAGAATCAGCAGGTTACGGTGAGGCACCTCATAGGCAACGAATCGCTATACACTATTTCAGAGTGCATACATCGCCTGACAAGTATTCCATTCCTAATTGGTACGCCGTTATTCCACTTCACCTCGACACTTATGGATAATGCCGATTGCCGGGAGGTGTTGATGTGCCAGCCTGATGACGACCACATTATAGGGTGGCTTACACAAAAGCAACTCCAGTGTACTGCATCGGCGCCTTTTGCAAACTTGTTTGGGGCTCGCCGGATATGATCTAGCGGTGTTACGAGTGTTGAAGATGCCTGTCCTTCTCTTTTTTTTGAAAACTTTGACTTATGTTATTGTTGGCACTATATTAAAACATGATGGTTGTGTGTGCATGTTTTTATTCCTTCATTTTTCTTTTTTTCTTGCTAGCTATGGTGAACAAAACTTTTAGTTAAGTGCATGGGTTAACGGAATGGAAGCATGGTTGTGCATGGTTTTTGGGAAATGAATGGGATGCTTCTGTTTAAATTAAATATATGGCTATTTTTTAGACAGGCAACGACGGATTTGCTTGCTAGCTTTTGTATGTCTATATTTTGCAAATTTAACTGTTAGTTTACTTTGACGTCAACTTTTGTGGTTGTTACCACCATGGTCCCCCTGTAAAGCAGAAGTTGAACAGGTTTACAATTTGTGTAATTCATATCATTATGCGTTACTAATGACATTGGTGACGACATTACTTACATTATAAACAATGTCGGCATTTCTTTATTGCAAACTTCAATATAATTTGAGTCAATGAATCACGTGCAAACTGATTGAAAGAGTGCCACTCTTGTAGGTTTCGCATCAACGTAGACGTGATGAATCCCTGGGATGGAAGCAACAACGATGATTTAAGGGAAATGCTTAATCAAATGGCGGTCCAGGTGCAACAAGAACACAACTGCACATTTCTACAAGCATGCCAGTATGTGACAGAATGGTACGAAAAACACATGGCTAAAACGCCATGTTGCACTTCTATACTGACCGAGAATGCATGGATATCCGAACTATATGCGGGCCATATGGGTTGATTTGAGGAAAATGTTTACATGCCGAAGGAAGTTTTTGTCGCCTTGTGTGAGACATTAGTAAATGATTTTGGGTTACAAGTACCGCAACGTCCACATGGCTTAGCTGTTGAAGAAAGCGTTGCAATGTTTATCCATGTGTTAAAAGGGAAGCAAAATCGGGAAATCCAAGAACGGTTCCAACATTCGGGGGAGACTGTGTCTCGGCACGTGCATAACGTATTGACTTCCATGAAAGAGTTCACTGTTGTTCATTGCCGGCCGACATACAGTCAGCATCATATACATCCATACATGTGGTCTAAACGGAAATACCTACCGTTCAAGGTACTACTAAAAAACATTATTGGCATATAAATAAAGAGTGTCAGTTATTTTGTTTTTATTATTAACTAGACGTGACGTATGGAAAAAACCATTACTTGTTACCCGTTTAAGCAACAAAAGAATTTGGTTGTTTGCAAGACTGTATTGGAGCAATAGACAGAACACATGTAAGTGCATGGGTTACGGGGCCAGATGCGACAACATATTTCGGTAGGAAATACTGTCACACGCAAAATATCATGGCCATGGTCGATTTTGACATGTGTTTCATATTCATTTTGTGCGGATGGGAAGGAAGTATGCATGATAGTCGCATCTTCAACGAGATACTAACAAATGACAATGTCGCATTTCCACATCTTGACGAAGGTAACACATGGCCATGAATTTTGCATTTATGGGGCTATAATTTTTTCTGAAACAGCGTTACTTGAAAATGAAGCATAATGTTTGTTTTTGGTGTCATATATTGTTGTCCTGTCTGCAGGCAAATATTATCTTGTCGATTCTGGCTATCCAAACCAGCTAGGTTACTTAGCACTATTCAGAGGCAGCTGTTACCACCAACAAGAATACCGACGTATTCCATGGAACACGACGGCAAACACGCCAAGGGAATTATTTAACAAAGTTCACTCGTCGTGTGGTGGAACGCACTTTCGGTGCCTGAAAAAATCGATGGGGGTTTATTCGAGACATGCCTCGGTATGACTTTGCAAATGTGCAAGTTTAGTTAGTAGGTGCGTCAATGACATTACATAATTATATACGGCGAAACACAGGTAATCCAATAACTGTTCACCCAATCTGTGACGAGGAAGAGGCTATGACAATAATAAATGCCATACCAGAACTTGAACATGATGAGGATGGTTTAATGGTTGGGGATGAGGACCCGCATATGGCATTGGTGCGCCTTCTTATACGCGACAAATTATGTTGCATGCGTAATAACGGAATGTTAGGAAATATATAATAGTCGACCTAATTTTCGTAGGGTTGTAACATTGGTAACACACGTGGAACAAACTGTATTGAAATATATTATCATGTATCAGTAAAATGTGTTTACACGGGAATATACCCCCTTTCTGTTAGTGACGTGCCTAACTACGAAAAACCAAAAACCACATAAAAAACCTTTTTCGAAAAAGAAAACAAGGTGAAACAAATAAGAGAAAAAAAAAAACTAATACAGAAATTATCATGTGCGACGTCAATTAAAAACATAAAAACACAAGTTCAAAACAACAAAAAAAATCAAAACACACCTCATTTTTTGTCATGTGCCACGACAATATATGATTTTTCACATCATTTTAAATAAATGACATAAAAAAACGTTTTTCCAAATAAATAAAACACATGAAAACCCATTTTTGAAATATAAAAACAAATTAATCTGTACAAATTAAAAATTGACAAAAACGTAAATAAAAAAAATAACAAGAAAAAATACGCCTCATTAAAAAATATTTAAAAAAAAAAAATTACCATTCGCAACGTAATTTAGAAATAAATGAAACACATGTAAACTCATTATTGAGAAATAAAAAAAAAATTATTGTATATTAATAAAAAAGAAAAGAAAAAAAAACATAAATTAAAGAACAAGAACTAATTAATGTATAAAAAAAATGACACAAAAAAAAATCAAAATACGCCAAATGTAAAAAAAAAAATAAAAAAGTCCAAACAATTTTGGTCCAATTACGACACTGACATGAAAGACTATTCAAAGGTGACTTGCCATGTAAAACAGTTTGATAATTTATCATAAATACACTTCATCAAAAAATTAAAAAAGTAATAAAAATTTTTTTAAACCAAACTTTTAATCTTAGACTAAAAAAACAAAAAATCAAAAAATTAATCCACTTGCTAGACGGAGCCATCAGATTCCGAACTGAAGGAAAGCCAAATCCTAAAAATAAACGCCACGATTGAGCACACTGCCACTAAAAGTGGGGATCACAAGGCCAAAACCGCCGGAGGTGGCATTATAGTAATAAAACTAAAATGAAAGCCCTTTTAATTACGTAGTTTGTATATAAACCCGACACGAGTCCTTCATCTCCTCTATCCTCTCTCTGACAGTCGCAGCTGTAGAGACTGTTTTTGTTCCTTCTCTTCCACCAATACAACAATTATATATATATATATATAAACATTTCTTCTGTATCGCACTCTCTGTATTTTCAGTCTCAACCCCAATCCTCTCTCTCTCTCTCTCTCTCGTTTTGGCTATGGAGTCAGTGTTCTGGTTCTGTTTCGTAGCTTTTCTTCTTCAATGTCTCACAATCACCGCAAAACGAACCTACATTGTCCACATGAACCACCACAACAAACCACTATCCTACGCCACCCACCATGACTGGTACTCCGCTCATCTCCAATCTCTCTCCTCTGATTCCGACTCCCTCCTCTACACCTACACCACCGCCTACCACGGCTTCGCCGCCTCTCTCGACCCACACCAAGCCGATCTCCTCCGCCACTCCGATTCAGTCCTCGGAGTCTACGAAGACACCGTCTACACCCTCCACACCACTCGAACCCCTGAGTTTCTCGGTCTCGACACCCAGATGGGTTTGTGGGATGGTCACACACCGCAAGAGCTGAACCACGCTTCTCAGGATGTTATCATTGGGGTTCTCGATACCGGAGTTTGGCCGGAATCGAAGAGCTTTGATGATTCCGGTATGCCGGACGTTCCTTCACGGTGGCGAGGAGAGTGCGAGTTGGCTTCCGATTTCAGCCCTAAACTCTGCAACAAAAAATTGATCGGCGCTCGAAGCTTCTCGAGAGGCTACCATATGGCTTCGGGGAACGATCCGAAGAGCACGAAGGAGATCGAATCGCCGCGCGATCAGGACGGTCATGGTACTCACACGGCGACCACAGCCGGAGGAGCCAATGTGGCTAACGCGAGCCTCCTCGGCTACGCCAGCGGGACGGCGCGTGGGATGGCGACGAGAGCGCGCGTCGCGGCTTACAAAGTTTGCTGGATAACCGGCTGCTTCGGCGCCGATATACTCGCCGGAATGGATCGCGCCATAACTGACGGCGTTGATGTGCTGTCCCTCTCGCTCGGCGGCGGCTCGGCTTCGTACTATCGGGACACGATCGCAATCGGCGCGTTCACGGCAACGGAAATGGGGATCTTCGTGTCTTGCTCGGCTGGAAACAGCGGGCCGAGCCGAGCCTCGCTCGCGAATGTGGCTCCTTGGATCATGACGGTTGGAGCCGGAACTTTAGACCGGGATTTTCCGGCTTACGCGGTTTTGGGTAACGGCAAGCGGTTCACTGGGGTATCCCTATATAGCGGTCTGGGAATGGGTGATAAAGCGGTCGGTTTAGTTTACAACAGAGGAAATAGCAGCTCGGGCAATCTATGCTTGCCCGGTTCGCTTGAACCGGAATTGGTACGTGGGAAAGTGGTGTTGTGCGATAGAGGGATCAACGCACGTGTGGAGAAAGGGGAGGTGGTGAAGGACGCGGGAGGAGTGGGAATGGTGTTGGCGAACACGGCGGCGAGTGGGGAGGAGCTGGTGGCGGACAGCCACTTGTTGCCGGCGGTGGCGGTGGGGAAGAAGGCGGGGGATGTGATTAGGGCATACGTGGCGGCGGCGGGTGGGAGTGCGACGGCGGTGCTGAGTTTTGGTGGGACGGTGTTGAATGTGAGGCCGTCGCCGGTGGTGGCGGCGTTTAGTTCGAGGGGGCCCAATATGGTGACGATGCAGATATTGAAGCCCGATGTGATTGGGCCTGGGGTTAACATCTTGGCTGCGTGGTCAGAGGCTGTTGGGCCCACTGGGTTGGCCAAGGATACTAGGAAGACCCAGTTCAATATCATGTCAGGTATGCATATCCAACGGCTAGATTTTGTTTTGTTTTGTTTTGTTTTTTTTATTTCGTCATTTTAATGCTAGTCATGGGTTGGCCAATATCTGTAGTTGTAGATTGATACTGTTTTTCTTTAGTTAGGGTCCTTTATTTTAAGAAAATTAAAATAAAAATAAATTTTAGTAGAATAGAAAAGAGGATAATATGAATGTTAGAATAACAGTTATTAAATATATATAGTCTGTGTTTGGCAAGGGCTTTTTTCAGGTTTTTTTGGCTATTTTAGCCACAAAAAACAAAATAGGCTATTTTAGCCATAACAAACAAAACATCACATCCAACCTATAATCATTATATTCTTCTCTCACAAAAAAAGTCAAAAAAGCCAAAAAGCCAAAAAGCCCTTCCCAAACCAAGCTTTTTAGCCTCGGCTAAAATAGTCAAAAAAACCAAAAAATCAAAAAGCCAACTCACTTCCCAAACGGAGGCATAATAGGTTTTATATGAATTTTATTAATATTTAACTAGTGCGAATGTGTTATATATCATGATAGATAAAATATATACTAACTTGGTTTTGAGCACATGCTAAATGTAATTGGTGTTTTGGTTTGATTTGAATTATACTAATAGTAATAGTGTATGAGGGCTGACCAATAATTGATTCTTCCTTTTCCTTTTTTTATTAGTTTAGTTATAAAATAATAAAAAAAGGTGATAGGTGGAATTTTAAGCAGGGAATTAAAAACAAACAAGCTACTCGAATTTGACTCGGTTTGATTCATTAAAAATTCGTTCAAAACCAGCTTATTATATAAACAAGCCGTTTGACTTATTTATTGTCCTAAGAGCTTTTTAAAATTTAATTATACGAATTAAAATGATTGATAAAAAAGTGACACTGGCGAATTAAAATCTTAAGAAACATCATCTAATTATGTCTCATGTGTAAGGCTTAATATATTCTTTCAAATCTTGAAGGTTGTTAATGTAATTTATCTTTTATTTTCTTGTTTTCATTAGTTTAGTTAAAAAGCCACCTAAATTGGGCCCAGTTTGAATTTAGATATGGGCCATGGTTTTAGTTGGAAATGGTCCCACTTGTTTTAATAAAATAAAAAGAAACATATATTCTTTCAAATCTTGAAGGTTGTTAATGTAATTTACATTTTATGTTCTTGTTTTCATTAGTTTAGTTAAAAAGCTACCTAAATTGGGCCCAGTTTGAATTTAGATATTGGAAATTGTCCCACTGGTTTTAATAAAATAAAAAGATGTCAACTTTTTCAAAGTTCTCTGTGGAATTTCATTTTAAACATTAATGTAAATTTCAATTGGCAAACACTTCAGCTATTTTTGGAGAATTGAAGCCCACAAGATAGTTCACAATATATATATGTATATATAGATTTTTATAGAGAATAGATGTTTAACAATTCTTTACAAATATTTTCAAAAATTAATTTTTGTGAACTATTTGTTGAGAATTGTTGTACTTAGGTAATACTATTTTTGTTCGGGTGAAATTTTCCAAGTTTTCAACTTAATTGTTTTTTCGGTTCAAAAAACTAAATAAGCTCAAAACACCATTTTAAAGTTGAGTTTCAGATTTTTTATTTTATTTTATTTTATTGATTGTTTTTAATTACTATTGTTTTTAAGTTACCAATAAATAACACAATGTCACAATCTAGTGTGAACAAGAATTAGGACCAACACTTTGTTTCTAAGTTACCAGTAAATAACACCATGGCACAATCTAGTGTGAACTAGAATTGGGACCAACACTAGTGGGAAAGTGGGACTTTCCATCATTTTGTCTCTCATGATTATTGGGCTTGGAGTTAATGGATGAGCCACTACACACACAATATGATGGCCTGCCCAAAAAATGGGGCCCATTTGGAGGATGGTGTGGACTGACCCTATAATACCTTTTTCTATTAGCCTTGGACCATAATGCTTACTTATTTAGATAAAGCCCTTTTAGTGGGCCCATTATCCACCAATTGTTGTCATTCTTTTTCAAATGAAAATGATCTGTAAAGTTGGTAGAGAGAATGACCTCTTAACTGAACTAGTTAGTGAAAGTGACCCCAACTTGGTCCGGGCCATTTTTGAACCCAAAAATTATCCCAGTACGTCTAACTTAAATTTTAAAATTTTAATTCTTATTATACTTAATATGAATTTATTAATAAAAACATTACATATTAAATATAAAAATAATTTTTGTTTTTTTTTTTTTTTCGTGGTATACCCTTATCAATTATATGTCTTCTTGTTCAAATCTCTTCATCTTCTACTCTAAGCTTCAATTATTTTCTTTTCTTCTTCTTTTCACTCCAAAACTTCAATCCATTCCGACCAAAACACACCATTATTATCAATATCATTATTTTTTATTATATTATTAGTTGCACTTAAAAAACCTGTAGCTTTCAATGAACATTTGATTATATATGTGTATATTTCAGTATATATACATGGTCTTATCAATTCTAAATTTGTGTTTCTGTTCATTATTTTACTAAATCATGAATTTTGTTTGTTATAATCATGTGGATTAACAGTCCAGTCATGCCATTAGTGTAAAATCGCAATCTTTTGGTATGTTATAGGTTAAATATAATGAACTTATATGTGTGTGTATATATATAACAAAATCAAGTCTTAATTTCTACTGATTTCGGCTAATATACGTTGGTTATTTGAAATAAATAATGTGTATTAGATTAATAACAAAACAAGTCACTAATTCTAAGCTCAAAAGAAAAGTTCTTCAAAACTAATTTGAATTTTTTAATTTATTTTATTTGGGTGTACTTCAAAAGAGTAATTTGGGGAGGAAAAAAAAAAAAGGTGTACTGAAAATAAAGTGTAACCTAAATAATTTAATAGGGTGTATTAAAAAATTGGGCTCACTTAAATATTTTTTTGGTGTAAATAGAATTACCCACTTGACCCTAAAATGCTTTCTAGCATGAATTTTAAATTTTAAATTTTAAATTAGTGACATATAGAACATATATAAAATGATTATGATGGAAAAATATACCTTTTTTTCAATAATTTTTTTGAGTATATAAAATTGTTGCCATTATTTTGGGTGCTTCCCCTGCCATTATAAGTGCTTTCAAATCTGTTCTCACTGTGGAAGCACCCAAAATAATATAATGTATGGTGATAATAGTAGGCCCAACGCCATCTCTTGTACCATACTTTATTATGATTTGTTTTTCGACAGTAACATCCATTATAATTATGTTGATATTTAGAAGACAATGACCCTGTTTGGTATCATAGCCTTTTATTTCTTTTTCTTTTTTCAAAAAAATAAAATAAAATAATGTTAGATTGTTTTTACAGTTGTGACACAAATAGCTGAAATAATTTTGAAAACAAATTATCTAAAAGTTAGGGGAGAGGTGCTTTTAATTTTTGATTTCGGATTATCAATTTTTATCTTAAAAAAAACTGCCACCAAACATGCCACAAATATGAGAAATGACCTTTTTTATTGCTGGTTACTTTATTGGTGGTTACTCATATAACATTGTCATGTAGTACTCTGCCAATACCTAATAATTTTTTCGTGTGTACTCTCGTGACAACAATGCTTGGAATCAGACATTCACGTGGTATATACATACACGTGGTATATACATAGAGAGCTCACGTGGTATACACGTGGTATATACATAGAGAGCTCACGTGAATGTGCGACTCCTACACGGTTTGGGCATTGCCACATAGTTGATGCAGGGTGGTTTTTGTTTTTGTTTTTGTTTTTGTTTAGAGTACCGACTTCGACTTTGTGTGAATGAAATGTATAGGTACATCCATGTCATGCCCACACATTAGTGGTCTAGCAGCACTGCTCAAAGCAGCACATCCAGATTGGAGCCCCAGTGCTATTAAATCAGCCCTCATGACCACTGCTTACACTCATGACAACACCAACTCCCCTCTCCGTGACGCCGCCGAGGGTGACATCTCCACTCCGTTTGCCCATGGCTCTGGCCACGTCGACCCCCACAAGGCCCTCTCCCCAGGCCTTGTGTACGACATCTCAACCAATGAATACATCACATTCCTCTGCTCTTTAGACTACACTGTCGAGCAAGTAAAGATGGTTGTCAAGCACCCGAATGTAACGTGTTCGAGGAAATTTGCTGACCCTGGCCAACTCAACTACCCATCGTTCTCGGTCATGTTCGGGAAATCAAGAGTTGTAAGGTATACGCGAGTTTTGACGAATGTTGGAGCTGCAGGGTCCGTCTATGATGTGGCGGTCAATGGGCCATCAACGGTGGCTGTTACAGTGAAACCTGGTAAACTTGTTTTCAAGAATGTGGGAGACAAGCTGCGATATACTGTGACGTTCATGTCCAAGAATGGTGTGGATCCTACGACTCGGAATGAATTTGGTTCGCTGTCTTGGAGCAATGTTCAACACCAAGTTACGAGCCCGATAGCATATGCTTGGTCACAGATGTGAGATTGCAGGTTTATGTTTGTGACGGTGCAAGCATTTCAGTCCTGTTTGGGTTGTGTCGTGTGTAGTTGTTGCTGAGCAGTGAAGAAAACTGCAAATGGATCTGACCCGGGTCAAGGAATTTGCAAACAGAGAGGCAAAATGAGAAAGGGAGAGATAGAAAGTTTCTCCTGAAATCTGAATTTGGTGTGTGCTAGTGTGAAAGCTATAATATAATAGAATTAGGCATGTCCTGTTTAGTACAGCTTTGCAAGTATGTTTGTTTGAAATGATATCGACTAGAATAATATGATAGTAAGTTTTATTAGTTTGTATTAACATTATTCTAATCAACGAAGAATCAATAGTTTAAGATGGCATCAGAATTGGAAATTGTTTCTGTTTTCTGTTGTCCGTTATAACAAATTTTAGGAAATGATATAAAAAACTTGTTGCAAACTGTTTACACTTTTTAAGTTTTATAATTTTCAGAATCTATTGTTGTACAAAAATGGATGCGTGACTTTCCTTTTTATATTTTGGTGTTTAAATGACACAAAAAAATGGAAACGATACCAAATCACGATACACTAAAACTTATGGGAAATTTTATGTATATCATATGCACTTTTGATTACAATCTTTGTATTTTGATTATGATATATTGTATTATTAGTTATGACTTATTATGATGTTAATTATGATATTATTTTAATTATAATTTAAAAGTTATTATACCAAATTTTGAATTTAAATTTACTCTAATAGTTGTGTCTCTTGAAATGGAAGGGTGTGTCCTTTTGAAGGGTCACAATATTTCTAAAGAGTCATGGAGAAATCTATAAATTCCATCACCACAATATTTCTAAAGAGTCATGGAGAAATCTATAAATTCTATTATCCTCACTTCATTTTGGAATATAGAATGCTATTTTCCTTTTCACTTTGCATCTATTCTTCGTATTTTCTAAGTCTAATTTTCCTATAAAGATAGTACATGCATAACAAAGTTCGCTAGGCTTGCAATAGTAGTGCTGCTAGTGCAAGACATTGATCGTTGTATTCTGGGAGATAGACGTCTATTGAATCCTAAGTACCGGTGGGAGGACGAATCTGTCTTAAGAAAAGAAAGAGTGTCACACATTCGACTCGATCAGGTTTTATCTTTTTATGTACTGTAAGTTTTGTTACATTTTATGTCAATTTATTTCAGTTTTGGTTTTACCCAAAAATCGTTTATATATTTTTAAATTATATTTTCTAGATAGTTTGGTACTATTTTTCCAACAATCTTAAGACAGACCTGTCCATGTTTATGATTTTTGAGCAAATATTGTTTTGTGATTCAGAATTGTTGTTAAATAAATTTATCATTATTAAAATAGTTCCGATTATAACTTATCAGTAGTTTGAATCGATCCGGCAGTTTGTGACTGTTATAGAAACGGGAAAATGCTTTTGTTTAATCGTCTACTATTGAATTCAATTTAAATATATATATATATATCAGAAAAAGAACCAAACGTAAGAGAAGATAGATTTGCATTTAATTGTTCCAACTTTCAAGCACTTTTTGACCCTCTAAAGCACCTTTTATCTGAATACATTGTTCAACAAGTATTGCAAGTTTGGTAAATCAAACATGCCCAGTACTTATTTAATACTCATGCCTGAGAGGAATGGAGCTTCTTTGAACACCATGGTGTCCGGGTATGTTCAAGGGGTATAAGGGCACATTTGTTGGGTTCCAAGGAAGTAAACAAGTTCTTTGACGATCAGAGAAGAAGGTTGTCGGATTGAATTTCGGCATCTGAATCGGTAAGCTTTCCTTGAATCTCTCATCCCAAAGTTCACACTTTGTTTTCCTTCTAATGATTCTAATCCCTGAATCGTCTTGTTTGGTTTCTGAGAAAAGCCGAAGGAATTTCGGCCTCTGATTTTGTTTGTTTGATTTTATGAGAAAATTGAAAGATTCTTATTGACTATGGTCAATTGTCAAGGTATTATGTCATCTAATGATATTTTCTGATGATCCAAACCACTGCTATACATTTCTATACACATCATGTGTTTGACGAAATGTCTGCGAGAAATAGTTTTACTTGAATGCAATGGTAAAGGGCTGTTGTTCACAGAAATTGAAAGTTTGTTGTTTAAGGGCATGTTAGTTGATATCAGTGGATTGAAACCAACTGATCCGAATACAGTTTGTGTGTAAGTTGCAAAGTCCATGTTAGAATAGTAATTTATTAGAATTAATTAATTATCTTGTAGCAATTATGAATAGATGCAACGCTTCCCTGATGAGTCTTGTGAAAATTCAAGTATTGGAATACGGTTGTGACCGTTTGGTTTGATTTTTAAATTTAAAACCAAGTGTATGGTAAGGTGCCTTTCTTTAGACTTCTATATATCATTGTGAACTCTTGTTTTTTAAATATTTTCATATAATTAGAAATGATAAACAGATATATTCATTGTTGACAATTTTTTGTTATATTATTGATGTCATTTACATGAGCGTATTAATTTTAATATTTTTAATTAATTTGGAATGAATTTTATGACATCATGCTGCCATAATTTATTTAATAATAGTGTATTTTTATATTGATTAGTGGCTGTTCTAAGAAAGTCAATCACTATTCACAAATATTAAACGTATGTAGTACTTTTGATGTGAAATTATTATTCAATTTTGACAACTTGTTATGGTCAGAATGTTTCTTGTTTTCTTATTATTATTATTATTTTTTAAATAGATTTTGGGTTTTATGTGTAATTTGATTGTGATAGTAATATTCTTGTCATATCAAAGCAATCATTACAATTGAAAATTTTAAAAATGATATTTTAAATAGTGGTGTTGTTCCATTTAATTGAAAATCGATTGAGGAATATTTTGTGTTGATTATCATTTTTTAATAATGAATTGAAAGTTATTTTTTTAAGTAACTTTGAATTTTGTGAGATAGGATGCCTTCAATCTTATTTCACTCGTGTGATAGACTTGGTTTAACCATGAATCATATTCTTAATGTGGGAGTTTATCTTTTGAATTAGAAGAGATAATTTCATTTTTGTCCCAAATATTTTTGAATGAGTTATTACTTGTAACAGTGACACTTGTCTGGAAATGAATCATATTGTTTTTGTTAATTTATGTATTATTACAAATGTGGAGAAGAGAGATTAATTGGAAAATTATGATTATAATTGATTTGTTAATCATGTCCATGTCTACATATGTTGTAGAGTTGACTATATGATGTCATTAATATCGATTTGATATGTGGTGCATTATTAATGGATGTCAATTATTTATCAAGGGAGCTTTTTTGATAAATCTATTTTCTAAGAGCTTTATTCCATTCAACCCATATTCTTTTTGACTATTCCATTAGGTTCAATTTGAGATAAGAAGATCAAAATACCCTTTTCATCTACTTATGTTGCATTTAGTTCACATTATTTTCTTATATTTCAATAATTACCAAAATACCCTTAATGTGAATGTTCACACCGTCAATATAAATGTTTATATCGTCAATGTGTAGGGGTTCGGCTCATGTCGATCCTCGTGGGTGCCCGAAAAAATTTGAGTCTGGCCGGGCCGGCCCACAAGCAAAAAAAATAGGCTCGACCCGGCCTGTTGATTATATGAATATTCACATTGACAAGTTAACATTCACATTGATAGGAGTGTAAAATTGGCCTGCGGCCCGTGGGCTGCCCGAAACCAACCCGTCCCCCGGGGCGGGCCCGGGCCGGCCCGTTCACAATATGAATATTCACATTGACATATTAACATTGACAAGAGTGTAAAATTGGCCCATGACCCGTGGGCAGCCCGAAGCCCGGGCCCAGGTCGAGGCAGGCCCGGCTCGGCCCGTTAACAATGTGAATATTCACATTGACATGTTAACATTCACATTGATAGGAGTGTAAAATTAGCCCGCGGCTTGTGGCCGGCCCGAAACCCGCCTACGGCTCGTGGGCTGCCCTGGGCGGGCCCAGCCCGACCCGTTGATAATGCAAATATTCACATTGACATGTTAACATTCACATTGATAAGAGTATAAAATTAGCCTGCGCCCCGTGGATGCCCGAAACTAGCCCACGGCCCGTGGAGGGCCCGGGGCGAGCGCGACCCGGCCTGTTGACAATGTGAATATTCACATTGACATATTAACATTCACATTGATAAGAGTGTAAAATTGACTCGCGTCCCATGGGCTGCTCGGGGCGAGCCCGGTCCAGCCCGTTGACAATGTGAATATTCACATTGACATATTAACATTCACATTGATAAGAGTGTAAAATTGGCCCGTGGCCCGTGGGCGGCCCAAAGCCTGCCCGCTGTCCAGGGGGGGCCCCGCCCGGCTCGTCTCCTTGACAATGTGAATATTCACATTGACATATTAATATTAACATTGATAAGAGTGTAAAATTAGCCCGTGACCCGTGGGCAGCCCGAAGCCCAGCCCCGGGTCGACGCGGGCCCGGCTCGTTGACAACGTGAATATTCACATTGACATGTTAACATTCACATTGATAAAAATGTAACATTAGCCTTTCCCCATGGCTGCTCGAAACACGCCCACGGCCCGTGGGTGACCCGAGGCGGGCCCAGCCCGGCCTGTTGACAATGTGAATATTCACATTGATATGTTAACATTCACATTGATAAGAGTGTAAAATTGACTCGCGTCCCATGGGCGGCCCGAAGCTTGTGGACGGCCCGGGTTTGGGTCCGAGCATACCCCGGGCCGCGGGCGAGCTTCGTGTAGCGGACAAGTTTTACGCTCCTATCAATGTTAATGTTAACATGTCAATGTGAATATTCACATTGTCACGGGGCGGGCCAAGCCCGGCTCAAGCTGCGATCGGGCTTCGGGCCGCCCACGGGCTGCGGGCCAATTTTATACTCCTATCAATGTGAATGTTAACATGTCAATATGAATATTCACATTGGCAACGGGCCGGGCCCGCCCTAGCCCGAGGTCGGGCTTCGGGCTCCCCACGGGTCACGGGCCAATTGTACACTCTTATCAATGTGAATGTTAACATGTCAATATGAATATTCACATTGTCAACTTAACATTCACATTGATAGAGTGTAAAATTGGCCCGCAGCCCGTGGGCGGCCCGGCCCGTTTACAATATGAATATTCACATTGACAAGTTAACATTCACATTGATAGAGTGTAAAATTGGCCCGCAGCCCGTGGGCTGCTCGCGGCCCAGGGTAGGCCCGGCCCGGCCCG